GCCATTTTCTTCCGGCATGCAAGCAGCTGGAACGAGAAACAAAGCGCCAGCTTTCTAGCGAGTGAAACAAGCGCACTAGCGCCATACCTCGTTCTCTTTTCCTTGAGAAAAGCTGAGAAGCTCCTCGTTGATGGCAACCAGGTCTTCGAACTGGCGCCTGTGATCGCTGGACTGCTTCTCGGCCGCTCTCGACTGGCCTCGCAGCTGGAAGTTCTCAAACTCGAGAGCCACCACCTGGTCTTGCAACTGTTGTAGCTTTGCGTCCTTTGCCGCGAGAGACTGCTCCATCGCCACTGTTTTGTGATCGGCTCTGGAGAGGTCACGCTTGACGGTGTTCAGTGTGGCATGCAAGCTCTTCGCCTGCGGAGACAAAATAAAAAACAGTTAGAACATGAACTGAGAATCACTTACAACTTTGGCTTCGATCAGAGAGCAAGCTAACATTCTCTGTTGCATTCTTCATCTCCAGCTCCATCGCAGACTTGAGCTTCTGCATTTCCTGTGCCTTGAGCTCCAGCTCTTTGATCTTCGTGCTTTTGGCATTCAAGGCTTCCTCAAGAGACACGTATTTTTCGGTGTTGCTAAGCCGCTCGGTTCCTAGAATTTGTACCATCTCTTTCACCTGCAAGAGAACAAAGAGTTTTTTTGCAAGGTGATCCAGAAGTTGGACTTACACTGTTTCTAGCACCCTCCAGCTGCCTGGTTAGCATGGCCTGGGATTTCTCAAACACGGACTGAGAATTCTCCATCTCCTTGAGTCGAAGCTCCAGCCTTTGCACGGTGGCGTTTCTCTGTGCAACAGCTTCTTCCATCGTCCGTGCCTTGGCTTGGCAATTCGAAAGCTCACTTTTCACAGACTCCAAGCTCGCGTACGCCTCCCTCGCCTGCAAAGATGCAACAAGTAGCGATCAACAAAAGCTCTGATGGAGAGATAGAGAAAAAGTTCTGCGATGACTTACGTTGTGTCTTTCTTCTGATACCTTCGCTTCCAATCCAGTGCGACTCACATCGGAAGCGGACTTTAGGTTCTGAATGGCCTCCATTTCCAGCTTCATCTCTTCGAGTTTTACGTCCTTTTCGGCCGCTTCTTCCACTAAGTTTGAGATAGTGTCTTGGCTAGTCGCAAGTTCTTTCCTCAGTGTATCATCGAATGCTTCTTCGAAATCTTTTCGCAGCTGCTCGGCGTAGGAATTCGCAGTGGCCAAGGCCCGAGACATCTGGTCCATGCTAAAGCTTTTCTCGGCTAAAGCTTGCTCCAGTGCTGCAATCCTTTTGCAGCTGTCCTGGGATTCCTCGGCTTGAAAAGTCTTCAAGGCCTCGAGCATCTCTTCCACCTTGAAGCTCTTCTCTGCGAGAGATTTCTCTAGCGCATCAGCTTTATCTTGGCTTTCCACCAGTTTGGAGCTCAACATGTGAACTATGTTCTCAAGATCCTCTTCCTGGACTAAAGTGACCACATTAGCTAGGCTTCCTTTCTACTTCAGGATCTTCAAAAGAAACTTACTTTTCTCTTGAACGCAGCCTCCAGTTGTTCGGTTGACCGATCTCTCGCAACGCCCTCGACGCTTTCGGAAAGTTGAGTCGTCACCTGTAAGTACTTCTGTAAATGAAAAGAAGAGGAAAAGAAACTAGATTCATTACCTCAATGAGCTCGTCACTGGAAAAGCTTTCCGTGGTTTCTGATAGATTGTTGTGAGAGTCCTTGACATCAAGTTCCTCCAAAGCTTTCAGTTTATTCTCTTCTTCTTGGCACAGAAGTGAGATTTCTAGCAAAGCATCTCCTAGTAATTAACAAGTAGTTTCGTCAGCTAAGGTGAAAAATGAAGACGAAAGATTTTCCTCCACCTTGTGTGAATTTCTCGACAACAGGCTTTCCCTCTGTGATTTGTCCAACCTCGGTCAAGCTTACAGCAGTCTGAGTACACGAGTCTTTGTTTTCCAGCAAATCTTTCGGTACTAAAGCTTGCATCCTCCAGTTCCTGAAGTACAAACAGTTTAGAACGAGTAACGCTATTGAGCAAGCATTACCTGATGACGTCTATAAGCATTGCGCTAGAAACATCAGTTTCATCACTCGAGTCTCCAGCGTCGACAGCTTTGTCTTGTCTTTCTACTAGTGAATGTTCATCAGTTTTCGCTTTACTCTCTTCTAACTGGGGACGAACTTTCGGCTGTTGTAAATCAAGCTGCTTCAAACCTCTGGAATCACATGTTGTTTGTGTGAAGCTGCTGCATAACGCCGGCAGTGACGAGAGCTTGAACTGGAGTAAAATAACAAAAGATTGAAAGACCGGCTAAGTTTCATCAAAGAACTCAGGTACCTTTGGACAAAAGTTCTGTTCCTGGCTGTGCGTCACCTCCTGTTCTTGCTTTAGCTTGTGAAGCTTCACGGGATTCGTCACAACGTGTTTACTAGCAGAGCGATCTTCGTCACGAGTTTGCGTGTTCGGGTCGACATTTTCTGCCTCGAAAGCTGGAGAGACGTAGAGGTACGAGTAGCCTTGAGGAAACCCCTCGTAGCCTGTTCTTGTCCCTGCAGTTTCCTCAAGACTCCCAATATCAAGCTCTCCAGAAGTTTGCAACACTCTCGACGTCGTCTTTCTGGTGAAGTTGAAAATTCTCGGGGGCCTCATCTCCCACGGACTCTTGCAGCTGCAAGAAATCTCCAGCTTTGTAATGTGCTCCAGCCCGTTAACGTTCTGTCTTTGATGATCGTGCGAGTTTTGTCGCCCGGAGAGCATCTCCTGGAGCTGCTTGTTCTTGTCCAGCAGCTTGTGAATTGTCTCGTGAAGCTTTTTCGCGTCTGTGCTAAGCGAAACGTCTGCAGGTTTTCTTCCAGCTTCTCTAGTTGTAATAGATTCTTCGGTACGATCATCGGACTTTTCAGAAGATCGTTCCAGCTCAGGAGTTTGATCCTTGCGAAGTTTGGAAGGATCCTCCAAACCTTCTGAATCCTAACACAGGAAATCTAAAGTGAGACCTCGAGATCAAATAAAGCAACACGTAAAAGACTTGAAAACCTGGTCGTGCTTGTCGCTTAAATCGTCCTTTTGGAGAGCATCGTCCAGTGAGTTGTCAAGAAAGCTCAGATACTTCCCAAGAAAGCTCCCCTTCACCTCGCCAAGTTTCTGCTTAGACACTTCATGCTTGAGCCTCTGCTTCTGCAGAAAGTTGTCAAGCGCAACCCGGTCACGCTCCATGGCTTCTTTCACATTTCCAAGAAAGAAGCGCCTCTCCTTCTCTCTTTCCTTTTCGAGAGATTCTGGAAGCTGAGAACACGCAACCAAATCAATACTTCCGACCTAGAAAACTATATCTAAGTGTCACCTTCGTGGTTTTGGGACCTTCCAGCGCTGGTGCTGTCTGATCCTCTTGCTTTGCAGTCGCTACATTCGTTCTTGCTGAAATAACCTTGCCATCGTCCAAACCTTTGGTTCTCACGCTTTGTAGAGCTATCCTGTTCTCTATATTCTCCTGGCATTGAGAGCATACGCAGATATCCAGCAAGCTTCGAAGACGTCCTTCCGCGGCCTATAAAGAAGAAAGAAGAAATAAAACGATGGTCTAAACTCAAGAAAGAAGGAGCCTTCGACCAACCTTAGCAGAAGCTTCCATGTTCAAAGCATTCTCCTCCGAGTCGATGAGCACCTCAATCTCATTGAGAAGCTTTAACTTCTCACGAGAGAACCCCGCCAAGTCCCACAGCTCCAGCTGCCTCTTCTTGTTCATCAAATCCCCACCGTGATCCTTCTTCGACCCGAGCGTGCTCTGGACCCTGGACCAAGCTGCCCTGTTCGACCAAGGATTCGATAGGAAGCCCTTCCCATTCACCGACATTGTCCGAAGAGCATTGGCCTGGAGCGCGCGGAGAAAGTTTGGATCGTGCGGTGGTGGTGAGTGATTGAGCTGCCGGAGGGAGAGGAGTGAGGAAGGGTGAGGAAGTAAAGGAGGAGGAGGAGGAGTGGCGACATTGATGTCGCTGGAGATCTTCTTGCGCTTGGCGGTGCCGGCGCCAGGCCTCCACTCCATAGCCACGCGCGAGAAGGGCCACTGGAAACCCTCTACCCTGAAATGCCTCTTCTTGACGCCATTGAGAGCTTCCATGGCTGGATCATGCTCGCGCTACCCCGAGAGCATTGCGCCGCCGGAGCTGCCGCCACTCTGTTCGCGTGACAATGTTATAGCAGTTAGTCGTTAAACCTGGAAATGGTCTGCTGCCACGGCCACCATGGCCTCGCCACGTGGTCGGCGACGATCGTGTATGCGGGGCAGTCACCAGAGCTTACGCCGTCAAATTAAAAACAAAGAACGCCATGGTAATGCTCGGCTGGCATGGTAATTCATTTGAACTGTGGCATCATGCTCGCTCGCCACGTGGTCGGCTAGGATCTTGTATGCGAGGGCGGGAATAAATTTAAAAACATGAATATTCGTTTCTTCTTCATTGCTTCGTTGCGAGGGTTTTTTGTGTGGAGGAAGTGCGATGGCGGGCAAAAGCTCGACGAGGGCAGCCGACAACGAGAAGAAGGGGAAGAGGAGAATGCCGAGGAAGGAACGTCGCGGGATCACTGAATCCCAACGGCAGCGCCAGGACAAGGAAAGGGCCAAGGCTCAAGCTGCGCAAGGTGAAATTTCGTGCAATCTCTCCCGAAATATCTCTCCCTCACTCTCAATCTCTCCCTCACACTCGAAATCTTGGCAAAGATTCTCTCTTTCTCTCTCGATCTCTGAAATCTTGCTGTTTCAGAGAAGAAGACGCGCGGGAACGATGCAGAGAGAGGAGCAGGATGAGGCCGCGAGCTCGTGGTGCTGTGAGATCGTCGAAAGAAAGGGCGCGAGGCCATGTATCGAGCGGCAATCTGTTGTCATTTTGTGAATTTGATCCAAGGCGGCTGACTTTCATCCTACATTCTCCCACTGCCTGGTCCGGGCGCTTAGCCGCGAGAGTTCTCTCTCGATCGAGCGATTTCCAAGCCAACGCCGCCGCGGATGGAGCTTGCGCTCGGATTTCTGCCGCACCAGTGGCTGGATTTCGATTCTGGGAGGGAAGAATGTAGCATCGACAGAAATTTTTAAAAATATTTAGGGTACAATTGTCCATGGCGGCCGCGTCTTGGATCGCACAGCGCGCTCCCGCTCAGAATGGCGCCAGGGCGAGCTCGGAATCCCCAGTTCCTGGTGGCGCCACGGCGAGCTCCATCGGATGGCCGCTTTGCTACTGCGGGAGCAAGTCGGATGGCATCTCGTTTTCACTGTAAGTCATTCTCGTTTGTGCTTGAGCTTGGAGTCGCGAGTGTGTGAGCGCTTGTGCTAGGGTATGCTGCTGATGGTGTTCCCGGTGTGCCTGGTTTTACAGCTCTGAAACTTATGAGGAAGCACGGCTCGCTAGAAAATCTAGTAAGTGCAGCGGCAATTCGGACGGTTGTGAAGCCATACATGCAAGATGCTCTCAAGGAGCATTCCGTGTTGCTTGAGAAAAACTTGGAAGTTTTGTCCTTACGCAGGTAACTGGCTATTCTTTTCTAGCATCCAGGTGATTTTCTTATTTCCTTTTTCTTGCAGAGATATTAACGTAGAGCTACCAGTTGAGTGGTGCTTGTCCAGGGATAAGTCAAACGATCTTGCTGCATTGCAGTGGCTGGAGAAAGAAATTGAAATGCTGCATTGTGTCTAAACAGAGGTATCTGGCTATTCGTTTCTAGCATCCAGGTGATTTTAATATATTTTCTTGCAGAGATATTGACGTAGAGCTGGTGCTTGTCGAGGGATAAGTCAAGCGATCTTGCTGCATTGAAGGAACTTGAAACGTTGCAGGTTGTTTAGCAGCGGTGAACTGATCAGGCTCAAGGTATGAAAATTTTGAGCTCGCTTTATCGTTTCTTACTACGGCCTTCGTAGAATCCATAGTCTGTCCTTGATGGAAGCGAAGGTTGGTCCACTTCTGCAGAAACCTCAGGGTCTTTCAAATGAAGTGTACAGACGAATGCAACGTCAGGGATTGAAACCAGCCATTGGCATTGTTGTTGGTGCTCTCAAGGTATGTAGAAGCATGAAAGATCTACAACTAGGCAGGAGAATTAACAGGGATGTTTCCGAGACAGGTGACTTCTCAAACATTATCGTCGCCAACATCCTGCTTGATCTGTACGCGAAATGCGGAAGCATGATAGATGCTCGTGGAACATTTGACAGCATGCCACATCGCGATGTTGTCTCCTGGAATTCGATCGTACAGGGATATGATATGCACAGAGTGGAAATGGTGAAATGGCTCTACAGTTGTTTGCTCCTCTGGGAGACGAAGGGTACAAACCGGATCGAGTATCAGTTCCTGGTGCTCTCAAGGCTTGTTCCAGCTTGATAGAGAAGGATTCCGGGCAGGCTTTGGATGGTCAACGGGTGGTATTCTTAGAGAGGAGCAGGGAGATTCACAGGAAAGCAGTAAAACTTGGCTTAGACTCGGATCTCTTCGTCGCGAGCACCTTGATTGATCTTTACGCAAAATGTGGGAGCTTGACAGAGGCTCGTCGAGTTTTCGAAGGAATGAGCCATCGTAGTGTGGTGACATGGAACTGCATGATTCTCGGGTATGCCAGCAGCGGCGAGGGTGGTGAAGCTCTCGATATCTATGCTCGAATGCGTCGTGGAGACACTCCACCGGATGCTTTAACTTTCATCGCAGCGCTGAAAGCTTGTTGCCGTCTTGCGGACGAGGAACTTGCCCATGCCCCGGCACGCATTCGTGGCATGTTTGTTCCCCCATCGATGGATCGATCAGTTGTTTATGGTGAAGAAGAAACGGAAGTCTTGAAGATTCAGTAGTGACCAACACACTTGTGGAGTTCTATGCCAACTGTGGGAGCATGGTGGAGTCTCGCAGTTTCTTCGACAGTATTGAACGTCCAGACGTGGTTTCTTGGAACTGCCTCACTCTTGGTTATGCTCAGAACGGCAAAGGCGAGCAAGCTCTTGAGATATTCTTTAGCATGGACGAGAATGGTTGCGCTCCAGATCGTGTCACAGTTCTTGCTGCACTAAAGGCCTGTGTCACCTTGGCTGAGAAGGAACAGGGCCAGATTGTCGACGGAGGCGTCGTTAAGCTTCGGGCTTTGCAGAGAGGCAAGGCCGTGCATGCTCGAGCTCTCGCTTTTGTGGACGGAGAAGACCTCTCGGTTCATAATGCTCTCGTTGACATGTACGCCAAGTGTGGAGGCATGGTGGATGCTTGGGTGGTTTTCCAAGATATGGTGGTGCGACTTGGACGGGGATAATCCTGGGGTATGCTTGCGGCGGCCAGCACAAGCTCGTCTTACAATCGTTCGAAAGCATGCAAGAGGAAGGTGTTAAGGCAGATCATGTCACTGCTACTGCTGCATTTAAGGCTGTTGCGACTCTAGCAGAGAATGAAGACCGCAAGCTTGTGAAGAAATAGCTGGAGAAAGGCAGAGCTCTCCACTTGCAAGTCGCAAGGATTTGCGAACTGGATGACTACTTTTCGGTGGATATGTATACCAAGTGTCAAAGCATGGCGGAAGTCTTCACAGCATCAAAGGCCCCTTGATCTTGGGATATAGTCGGTTTGGAGAACCCGAGCGAGCTCTGGAGTTCTACACTCGGTTGCTGCACGAGAAAAGCTTGTAACCGGACGTACGTTGCTGCTCTCAAAGCCTGCGCTGAGCCTTGCAGCACTGGACTTCGGGCAGCAGATTCACGTACAAGCTTGCAGTGCTGGACTGGATACAGAGGCATCGGTGGGAAGTTCTTTCGCTCAAAACGAGGCGCTCAAAGAGCGTGGCCTTGCAAGGTGGACGCGGTGGTGTGGATGGCATTCTTAAGTTCGTGCCTCAAGTGGAGAAATGTGGAGCTTGGCAGGATGGCCTTCAAGTCGGTTCTCAAGCTCGACGATGGAACAGGCTCTGCGTACTCTCTCACGTCCAACATCTATGCCCGAGGTCAGTCGGATTTACAACTCCAACATCATAGGAAACAGTTGTTGGAACGATTTAATGCTTCTTTTAACAGGAAGGCATGGGGACTCAAGAGAAAGGAACAGAACACAAGCGAAGAACAGCGAAGAACAAGGATAAAGCAAGGAGAGGGGAAGCGGTTTAAAGGTATGTAATCGTTGCCTAATCCTACAGCAAAGCATGGAAGTTTCTGGTCCCATTGGCCCCCGATGTTCATCATTTTCTCGCTCAACATGCCTTTGTGACCTTCCAACCAGCAGTGGCCTTGTTAAACAAGCAGCTCCGCAAGCTTACCATGGATATGTCACTCATGTTGGTAGAGCCACAAACGCTCGTGTTTCCTCTCGTTTTTCTTCTGTCTTGCTTGGCTTGCATACTTTTCGTGTGTCGAATGAGCTTCCCTTCTTGCGAGTGAGTTCTTGAAGTGGCTGTCCAAAAGGCTTAAAATGACATGTTGTCTGGTTTTTTGTAAAATTTGCGTCACTTGGCTTGTACAAACTTTGTTCAATCCATGAATTTGCGACAGGAAGGAGGTCAGTCGGATTTACAACATCGTGGGAAACAGTTGTGGGAATGATTTAATGCTTTTTTTAACAGGAAGGCATGGGGACTCAAGAGAAACGAGCAGAACACAAGCAAAGAACAGCGAAGAACAAGGATAAAGCAAGGAGAGGGGAAGCGGTTTAAAGGTATGTAATCGTTGCGTAATCCTACAGCAAAGCATGGAAGTTTCTGGTCCCATTGGCCCCCAATGTTCATCATTTTCTCGCTCAGCATGCCTTCCAACCAGCAGTGGCCTTGTTAAACAAGCAGCTCCGCAAGCTTACCATGGATTTGTCACTCATGTTGGTAGAGCCACAAAAGTTCGTGTTTCCTCTCGTTTTTCTTCTGTTTTGCTTGCTTGCATACTTTTCGTGTGTCGAATGAGCTTCCCTTATTCTGGCTGTCCAAAAGGTTTAAAATGCCATGTTGTCTGGATAATTTGCGTGACTTGTCTTGTAGAAACTTTGTTTAATCCATGAATTTGCATCTTACACGACAAGAAGGAGAGCGCTTGAACGTGGATGATGGTGTGCTTTGGATCAACGTAGCCAGTGGAAGTTAGGAAAATGGAAGAACGAGGTAAAAACATTGACAGCAAAAGAAATGATCCTGTGATCTCCAGGTTTGCGGACACTGGAAACACTCGGTCTCGGCGATGAGGTTACTTTTTGGCGCAACAAGGACATCGATGTTCACTTGGTTGCTAACAAGAGGATGTTCTCGAGCTCAAAGGGTTGAACACGTAACAAATAAAAGGGAAAGAGTTGACGGCTTATAAATTCCCACACTCTAGGATTTTGGGAATTTAGGGTTTGATGGCAGAAACTTTTGGAAGGCTATCTGGGGATCATGGGTTGGAGAGGAAAATCAATGTTTTTTGGGATTCTGGTTGTGACCGTGATATTATCTCACAGAAATTAGTAGATGAATTCAATATTACTGTGGACAGTAATTCAGAAGTTAAAGATTTCAAGTTTATGGTGGAGGATTGTGAATTTAGAACAAGTTTGACTGTAAAACCATTGATTCTTGATCATGATATAATTTTGGGTTCACCTTGGATACATCAACATTGCTTAGAGTTAGACTGCAGTGGCACTATAAACAGTTTAACTTTTGAGGTCAATAATTCTATATATTGCCTCAAGGAGATTGATGGTACCCTTGATGATCACTACCAATTATATAAGTGCAGAAAATACAAGAAAATAAATCAACATATATGTACTACTTTTCATTATGCAGAATACAGTGGGAGAATCAATGATCATCACATCACAATTGCATTTGATAATGGTTCTGATTGGTCAGCTATAACACTTCAACTTCTCAAGAAACTTGGGCTCAAAGCAATTCGTGATTACAAGTATTTTACAAAAAGATTAACTGCAGATGTGCAAATGAAAGATGGTTATGGAATTGAGAATTTAACGTATAAAATGGGAAGCTTTTCAGAAAGTACAGATTTTATTGGTATAAAAGAGAATATAGATACCATATTTTTGGGGATGAATTGGCTTAAGAAGCACTCAGCAATAATTGACTTCAGGAATCATATTGTTACTTTTAAATCTAGTGAATTGGGTTGCTGGTATAGACTTCAATATCCAAATGGTGTATTTGAAGTCAGTAAAGATAGATTTGTTACTGAGACAGATAGTTTATGTTGGTGCCACCAAAAAAAAAGGGCCTCAGTCTTGGTTATGGCAAAGGCAAGCAAGCTCTGGAGCAATTCTTTAGGATGGACAAGAATGGTTCTCCAAATCACATCACAATTCTTACTGCACAGGATCAGATTGTTGACCAATACATTGTTAAGCTTGGAGTTTTTGAGTTCTAAAGGCAAAGCCGTGCATGCTTGAGCTCTGGCTTTTGTGGACCAAGGGGACCTCTCTCATGGACATATACCTCTCTGGACATGTGTCATAACATAAATTGTTTTATATTTTGATTCTGTTTGAATAAATATTATCATAAGTAGAAATACTTTGCTACACATTGCTACATTCAATGCTTAGTTTGTTTAATAGTAGTGTTATTTCTCTAAATTAATCCAATTGATCAATTAAAGTTTATAATTTTTAACATGTTGATAATGTATAAACACAAGATTAATCTTATTGAATATGATAGTAGAATAAACTAGAATATCCTAGAAAGCGTTTAGTGTTTATATAAATTAAAACAATATTTATAAATTAGAGATACAAGATTAATCTAAATGAATAACAACTGTTAGATGGTAGAATATCCTAGAATATTCAAGCATATTCTAGGTATAATCACTATCCCCTTATAGGTTTGGTTAAGCAAACAAATAATTTGGTGCACGTTGCATGCAATAATACTTAATTCTTAATAGTAATATTATTTTTATTTATTAATCCATTTGATCAAATAAACTTTTATAATTATAAAGATATTGATAATTTATAGACACAAGATTAATCTTATTTAATATCAACCATTTGACTGTAGAATAAACTAGAATATATTAAGAAGTGTTTAGGAAAGTTTACAAGATTAATTTAATTGAATAACAACTGTTAGAAAATATCTTAAAATATCCAAGCATATTTTAGATATATCCACTACCCTTCTACAGGTTTGCTTATGAAAACCAAAAATTTAGATAAATTGAAAACTACAAATAAAATTTTCACTAAAAAATATAACATATATATTTATACATATGTATAAAGTTTTACAGAAAGAGAATGATTATTTATATTTTCAAAATAATATTATAGTTATAAAGAATACTCACTATTAAAAAATATTATTCATTTTTTTAATTTGAAACAATTATGGTTTCATTTATATTAACCCAAATTAAACGCCAGGTATATCTTATTTATATTTACATTATTGTTATTTTATTAGTTTTTTATTTAGCATTGGATTGAAATATTATTGGATATTCGTGGTATATTTGATTGAAATTATTTATTAAAATTGTCTAACACTAAGCACCAACATAGATTAGAACTTTGAACAACTATAATATTTCATTTAGTATTTCTTATGACAAAAATTTATCCAAATTTTCTACATAGTTTTCTTTTTTTCTAAATGTATAAAATACAAACTTATGACTTGGAATAAATACATGTCTATACATGGCATGCACCATTATTTTGAAGATTACTAAACTACTTAAGTGTTACCTCTGATTTGTGATCTCTGGCTCCATCGTAACTTGATCATAACTTGATCAAGGAGGCAGACTTATACTATGTACATACCAAAACAATCACCTTTGTGCTAACTTTCACATATACTAAAGAAAATTACATATATAACTTGTAGTCAATTTCCCATAATTAATGTAGTCGTTCCCACGTTCTATTTCTTCAAAAGAATTACCAACAATGGAAAGGCATGAAAAGACCATAATCTGGTAATGCAAAACAAACCAAACAAAATGGACTGTGCTAAAAAAGTATTTATTAAATTTGTGGTCAAAATGAGCACCAACACAAACTACTCATCTCTTTGCCAAATCTATCTTTACTTGCTTCATATATACCAGATGGGTATTGAAATCTATACCAACAATCCAACTCTTTGGATATAAAAGTAGCAATATGATTCCTGTAGTTAATTATTGCTGAGTGATTATGAAGCCAGTCAATCCCAAGAAATATGGTTTCTCTATAATCTTCTAGACCAATAAAATTTCTTCTTTCTAAAAAGTTTAGTTATAACATACCAATTCCATAACTTTCATTTGAACTTATGGAGTTAGCCTTTCTGCAAAATACTTGGAATCGTGAACTACTTTAACCCCGAGTTTCCTGATAAGTATTCCAGAACTTGCACAACCATTATCTATTTCAATTCTGATTTTCTGATCATTGATTTCCCACAGTATGTATATGTTGATTTATTCTCTTGTATTTTTCTGGTCTTAGATAAGTTGTAATCACCCATGAGGCAATATGTAGTCCTCAAATGTTAGAGTATTTATTATGCTATTGCAGTCTAACTCTAAGCAATGTTTATGTATCCAAGGTGAACCTAAAATTATATCATAATCAAGAATCATTGGTAATACAGTCAAAGTCCTCATAACTTCACTCATAAACTTTGAGTTACTGTTAATAGTAATATTAAACTCATCCTTTGCCATCAAACCCTAAATTTACAAATTTTATGGATTAGATCCTTGAGGGGCTTTTGCTAGTCAACAACTTACACATGGTTCCACCATACAAGGAGAATAGCAAAAAGAACTTTCTCAACTTTTCCAATTGTTGGTTGTGCTGCAGCACGCAGCATTCAAAGAACGTACCCTAATTTACCTTAAGAAACCGGAAAAATTAGTCCGTTACACTCGGGCATGAGCTCCAAAAAATTTCAAGCGCCTCCATGATGATCATTCCGGGATATGCCTCGATTGTGTTCCAACGTCGCTCAAAGCTCCTCGAGTCCACCAGCTTGCTCGCCTATTGGCCACGATTCGTATACGTTGCGAATAGCCTCTCGGGTTTAAGTTTCTGCTTAGACGCTTCATGCTTGAGCCTCTGCTTCTGCAGAAAGTTGTCAAGTGCAACCCGGTCACGCTCCATAGCTTCTTTCACACTTCCCAGAACGAAGGGCCTCTCCTTCTCTCTTTACTTTTCGGTAGAGCTATCCTGTTCTGTATATTCTCCTAGGATTGAGAGCATACGCAGATATCCAGCAAGCTTTGAAGACGTCCTTCCACGGCCTAGAAAGAAGAAAGAAATAATAAAACGATGGTTTAAACTCAAGAAAGAAGGAGCCTTCGACCAACCTTAGCAGAAGCTTCCATGTTCAAAGCATTCTCCTTGGAGTCGATAAGCGCCTCAATCTCATTGAGAAGCTTTAACTTCTCACTAGAGAACCCCCCGAAGTCCCACAGCTTCAGCTGCCTCTTCTTGTTCATCAAATCCCCACCATGATCCTTCTTCGAGCCGAGTGCTCTGGACCATGGACCAAGCTGCCCTGTTTGACCAAGGATTCTATCGGAAGCCCTTCCCATTCACCGACATTGTCCGAAGAGCATTAGCCTAGGAAAAGGAGTGGCGACATTGATGTCCCTGGAGATCTTCTTGCACTTGGTCGTGCCGGCGCCAGGCCGTGCGAGAAGGGCCACTGGAAAGCCTCTGCCCTGGAATGCCTCTTCTTGACGCCATTGAGAGCTTCCATGGCTGGGTCATGCTCGCGCTACCACCGAGGCTGCCGGAGCTGCTGCCACTCGCAGTTAGTTGTTAAACCTGGAAATGTCCCGCCCAAGTCGAAGTATATTCGTTCATTTGAAATTTAAAACAAAAATGTTTGCCTCGTAAACTTCCGGAGATACAGAAAACTCGGCAGTTCGTCAATGTTTCTCGGCGAGATTGGACTTGATCTGGAATCATACAAGAGCTTGCTATGAATAGTTTGATCTAGGCGCGAACCTTAGTTAGCGGTGGAATTGCTGTCTCCATACCTCGAGATTTTTCTCGAACGAAGGTTCCAACGCGATTGTAGAAAAGCTTGCCCTGGGGTCAAGCTCGTACCTTGACACTGGACTCATTCTCGAGCTCCCATTCTCATCGTCGGTCGCACAGAGAGCTTAATCCGATGGAAGATAGGGGCGGCGGATTTGCGTCGGTCAGCCTCTTCGAGCATCGGATCGCCCCATTGTTGCGAGAGCCTAGTCTAGCCAGTGAAGAAAAATATCTTACTGAAAGAAAGATCACATTGACCATCTGGAGGTGTTGGATCACATAAAATCCTGGAGTATTCTTCTTGTTACGTTCGATCCAAGCCGATCAAACGTCTTGGGTGTAGAGGTTGTCTGGAAGACAATCCTAGCAGCCTGGCAGCATGACACCTGATCTCTCTGTCAAGAACTCCTATGGAAGTGCTTAAGCCTTGGTTCCCGCAAACTCCTCGTGGCGATTCGGTTTAAGCGGTCTACCAGCCTTCTCGCAATCTGGCTGCCGGATTGGCTTCAGTTCACTACGAGGCATGTCCTCCGTTTTCTAGTGTCTAGACAAGGCGGCGCCAGCAAAGCTAAGTTAAGTTCGCGCGGTTACTTCATCTGACTTTTCAGAAGATCGTTCCAGCTCAGGAGTTTGATCCTTGCGAAGTTTGGAAGGATCCTCCAAACCTTCTGAATCCTAACACAGGAAATCTAAAGTGAGACCTCGAGATCAAATAAAGCAACACGTAAAAGACTTGAAAACCTGGTCGTGCTTGTCGCTTAAATCGTCCTTTTGGAGAGCATCGTCCAGTGAGTTGTCAAGAAAGCTCAGATACTTCCCAAGAAAGCTCCCCTTCACCTCGCCAAGTTTCTGCTTAGACACTTCATGCTTGAGCCTCTGCTTCTGCAGAAAGTTGTCAAGCGCAACCCGGTCACGCTCCATGGCTTCTTTCACATTTCCAAGAAAGAAGCGCCTCTCCTTCTCTTTTTCCTTTTCGAGAGACTCCTGCTTCGTGAAATCTCTCTTCATCGTTTCTGGAAGCTGAGAACACGCAACCGAATCAATACTTCCGACCTAGAAAACTATATCTAAGTGTCACCTTCGTGGTTTTGGGACCTTCCAGCGCTGGTGCTGTCTGATCCTCTTGCTTTGCAGTCGCTACATTCGTTCTTGCTGAAATAACCTTGCCATCGTCCAAACCTTTGGTTCTCACGCTTTGTAGAGCTATCCTGTTCTCTATATTCTCCTGGCATTGAGAGCATACGCAGATATCCAGCAAGCTTCGAAGACGTCCTTCCGCGGCCTATAAAGAAGAAAGAAGAAATAAAACGATGGTCTAAACTCAAGAAAGAAGGAGCCTTCGACCAACCTTAGCAGAAGCTTCCATGTTCAAAGCATTCTCCTCCGAGTCGATGAGCGCCTCAATCTCTTTGAGAAGCTTTAACTTCTCACGAGAGAACCCCGCCAAGTCCCACAGCTCCAGCTGCCTCTTCTTGTTCATCAAATCCCCACCGTGATCCTTCTTCGACCCGACCCTGGACCAAGCTGCCCTGTTCGACCAAGGATTCGATAGGAAGCCCTTCCCATTCACCGACATTGTCCGAAGAGCATTGGCCTGGAGCGCGCGGAGAAAGTTTGGATCGTGCGGTGGTGGTGAGTGATTGAGCTGCCGGAGGGAGAGGAGTGAGGAAGGGTGAGGAAGTAAAGGAGGAGGAGGAGGAGTGGCGACATTGATGTCGCTGGAGATCTTCTTGCGCTTGGCGGTGCCGGCGCCAGGCCTCCACTCCATAGCCACGCGCGAGAAGGGCCACTGGAAACCCTCTACCCTGAAATGCCTCTTCTTGACGCCATTGAGAGCTTCCATGGCTGGATCATGCTCGCGCTACCCCGAGAGCATTGCGCCGCCGGAGCTGCCGCCACTCTGTTCGCGTGACAATGTTATAGCAGTTAGTCGTTAAACCTGGAAATGGTCTGCTGCCACGGCCACCATGGCCTCGCCACGTGGTCGGCGACGATCGTGTATGCGGGGCAGTCACCAGAGCTTACGCCGTCAAATTAAAAACAAAGAACGCCATGGTAATGCTCGGCTGGCATGGTAATTCATTTGAATCGCTCGCCTCGCCACGTGGTCGGCTAGGATCTTGTATGCGAGGGCGGGAATAAATTTAAAAACATGAATATTCGTTTCTTCTTCATTGCTTCGTTGCGAGGGTTTTTTGTGTGGAGGAAGTGCGATGGCGGGCAAAAGCTCGACGAGGGCAGCCGACAACGAGAAGAAGGGGAAGAGGAGAATGCCGAGGAAGGAACGTCGCGGGATCAGTGAATCCCAACGGCAGCGCCAGGACAAGGAAAGGGCCAAGGCTCAAGCTGCGCAAGGTGAAATTTCGTGCAATCTCTCCCGAAATATCTCTCCCTCACTCTCAATCTCTCCCTCACACTCGAAATCTTGGCAAAGATTCTCTCTTTCTCTCTCGATCTCTGGCTCGCGAGCTGAAATCTTGCTGTTTCAGAGAAGAAGACGTCCAAGAATCGTGATGCAGCGAGGGGAGCAGGAGCAGGATGAGGCCGAGCTCGTGGTGCTGTGAGATCGTCGAAAGAAAGGGCGCGAGGCCATGTATCGAGCGGCAATCTGTTGTCATTTTGTGAATTTGATCCAAGGCGGCTGACTTTCATCCTCCATTCTCCCACTGCCTGGTCCGGGCGCTTAGCCGCGAGAGTTCTCTCTCGATCGAGCGATTTCCAAGCCAACGCCGCCGCGGATGGAGCTTGCGCTCGGATTTCTGCCGCACCAGTGGCTGGATTTCGATTCTGGGAGGGAAGAATGTAGCATCGACAGAAATTTTTAAAAATATTTAGGGTACAATTGTCCAGATGCTCTCAAAGAGCATTCCGTGTTGCTTGAGAAAAACTTGGAAGTTTTGTCCTTACGCAGGTAACTGGCTATTCTTTTCTAGCATCCAGGTGATTTTCTTATTTCCTTTTTCTTGCAGAGATATTGACGTAGAGCTGGTGCTTGTCGAGGGATAAGTCAAGCGATCTTGCTGCATTGAAGGAACTTGAAACGTTGCAGGTTTTTTAGCAGCGGTGAACTGATCAGGCTCAAGGTATGAAAATTTTGAGCTCGCTTTATCGTTTCTTACTACGGCCTTCGTAGAATCCATAGTCTGTCCTGATGGAGCGAAGGTTGGTCCACTTCTGCAGAAACCTCAGGGTCTCTCAAATGAAGTGTACAGACGAATGCAACGTCAGGGATTGAAACCAGCCATTGGCATTGTTGTTGGTGCTCTCAAGGTATGTAGAAGCATGAGAGATCTACAACTAGGCAGGAGAATGAACAGGGATGTTTCCGAGACAGGTGACTTCTCAAACATTATCGTCGCCAACATCCTGCTTGATCTGTACGCGAAATGCGGAAGCATGATAGATGCTCGTGGAACATTTGACAGCATGCCGCATCGCGATGTTGTCTCCTGGAATTCGAGCGTACAGGGATATGATATGCACAGAGTGGAAATGGTGAAATGGCTCTACAGTTGTTTGCTCCTCTGGGAGACGAAGGGTACAAACCGGATCGAGTATCAGTTCCTGGTGCTCTCAAGGCTTGTTCCAGCTTGATAGAGAAGGATTCCGGGCAGGCTTTGGATGGTCAACGGGTGGTATTCTTAGAGAGGAGCAGGGAGATTCACAGGAAAGCAGTAAAACTTGGCTTAGACTCGGATCTCTTCGTCGCGAGCACCTTGATTGATCTTTACGCAAAATGTGGGAGCTTGACAGAGGCTCGTCGAGTTTTCGAAGGAATGAGCCATCGTAGTGTGGTGACATGGAACTGCATGATTCTCGGGTATGCCAGCAGCGGCGAGGGTGGTGAAGCTCTCGATATCTATGCTCGAATGCGTCGTGGAGACACTCCACCGGATGCTTTAACTTTCATCGCAGCGCTGAAAGCTTGTTGCCGTCTTGCGGACGAGGAACTTGCCCATGCCCCGGCACGCATTCGTGGCATGTTTGTTCCCCCATCGATGGATCGATCAGTTGTTCATGGTGAAGAAGAAACGGAAGTCTTGAAGATTCAGAGCTTCGAAAAAGGAAGGGCCGTTCGCTTGGAAGCTGGTAAGCACTATTCAAACATCTTAGTGACCAACACACTTGTGGAGTTCTATGCCAACTGTGGGAGCATGGTGGAGTCTCGCAGTTTCTTTGACAGTATTGAACGTCCAGACGTGGTTTCTTGGAACTGCCTCACTCTTGGTTATGCTCAGAACAGCAAAGGCGAGCAAGCTCTTGAGATATTCTTTAGCATGGACGAGAATGGTTGCGCTCCAGATCGTGTCACAGTTCTTGCTGCACTAAAGGCCTGTGTCACCTTGGCTGAGAAGGAACAGGGCCAGATTGTCGACGGAGGCGTCGTTAAGCTTCGGGCTTTGCAGAGAGGCAAGGCCGTGCATGCTCGAGCTCTCGCTTTTGTGGACGGAGAAGACCTCTCGGTTCATAATGCTCTCGTTGACATGTACGCCAAGTGTGGAGGCATGGTGGATGCTTGGCTGGTTTTCCAAGATATGGTGGTGCGACTTGGACGGGGATAATCCTGGGGTATGCTTGCGGCGGCCAGCACAAGCTCGTCTTACAATCGTTCGAAAGCATGCAAGAGGAAGGTGTTAAGGCAGATCATGTCACTGCTACTGCTGCATTTAAGGCTGTTGCGACTCTAGCAGAGAATGGAGACCGCAAGCTTGTGAAGAAATAGCTGGAGAAAGGCAGAGCTCTCCACTTGCAAGCCGCAAGGATTTGCGAACTGGATGACTACTTTTCGGTGGATATGTATACCAAGTGTCAAAGCACGGCGGAAGTCTTCACAGCATCAAAGGCCCCTTGATCTTGGGATATAGTCGGTTTGGAGAACCCGAGCGAGCTCTGGAGTTCTACACTCGGTTGCTGCACGAGAAAAGCTTGTAACCGGACGTACGTTGCTGCTCTCAAAGCCTGCGCTGAGCCTTGCAGCACTGGACTTCGGGCAGCAGATTCACGTACAAGCTTGCAGTGCTGGATTGGATACAGAGGCATCGGTGGGAAGTTCTTTCTCTCAAAACGAGGCGCTCAAAGAGCGTGGCCTTGCAAGGTGGACGCGGTGGTGTGGATGGCATTCTTAAGTTCGTGCCTCAAGTGGAGAAATGTGGAGCTTGGCAGGATGGCCTTCAAGTCGGTTCTCAAGCTCGACGATGGAACAGGCTCTGCGTACTCTCTCACGTCCAACATCTATGCCCGAGGTCAGTCGGATTTACAACTCCAACATCATAGGAAACAGTTGTTGGAACGATTTAATGCTTCTTTTAACAGGAAGGCATGGGGACTCAAGAGAAAGGAACAGAACACAAGCGAAGAACAGCGAAGAACAAGGATAAAGCAAGGAGAGGGGAAGCGGTTTAAAGGTATGTAATCGTTGCCTAATCCTACAGCAAAGCATGGAAGTTTCTGGTCCCATTGGCCCCCGATGTTTATCATTTTCTCGCTCAACATGCCTTTGTGACCTTCCAACCAGCAGTGGCCTTGTTAAACAAGCAGCTCCGCAAGCTTACCATGGATATGTCACTCGTGTTGGTAGAGCCACAAACGCTCGTGTTTCCTCTCGTTTTTCTTCTGTCTTGCTTGGCTTGCATACTTTTCGTGTGTCGAATGAGCTTCCCTTCTTGCGAGTGAGTTCTTGAAGTGGCTGTCCAAAAGGCTTAAAATGACATGTTGTCTGGTTTTTTGTAAAATTTGCGTCACTTGGCTTGTACAAACTTTGTTCAATCCATGAATTTGCGACAGGAAGAAGAGCGCTTGAACGTGGATGATGGTGTGCTTTGGATCAACGTAGCCAGTGGAAGTTAGAAAAATGGAAGAACGAGGTGAAAACATTGACAGCGAAAGAAAGCTTTTTGATCCTGTGATCTCCAGGTTTGCGGATACGGTGAAAAAACTCAGTTTTGGTGGTGTAGTAACTTTTTGACTTTGTAGGGTTGAACACGCAACAAATAAAAGGGAAAGAGTTGACGGCTTATAAATTCCCACACTCTAGGATCTGTAGGGTAGGGAATTTAGGGTTTGATGGCAGAAACTTTTGGAAGGTTATCTGGGGATCATGGGTTGGAGAGGAAAATCAATGTTTTTTGGGATTCTGGTTGTGACCGTGATATTATCTCACAGAAATTAGTAGATGAATTCAATATTACTGTGGACAGTAATTCACAAGTTAAAGATTTCAAGTTTATGGTGGAGGATTGTGAATTTAAAACAAGTTTGACTGTAAAACCATTGATTCTTGATCATGATATAATTTTGGGTTCACCTTGGATACATCAACATTGCTTAGAGTTAGACTGCAGTGGCACTATAAACAGTTTAACTTTTGAGGTCAATAATTCTATATATTGCCTCAAGGAGATTGATGGTGCCCTTGATGATCACTACCAATTATATAAGTGCAGAAAATACAAGAGAATAAATCAACATATATGTACTACTTTTCATTATGCAGAATACAGTGGGAGAATCAATGATCATCACATCACAATTGAATTTGATAATGGTTCTGATTGGTCAGCTATATCACTTCAACTTCTCAAGAAACTTGGGCTCAAAGCAATTCGTGATTACAAGTATTTTACAAAAAGATTAACTGCAGATGTGCAAATGAAAGATGGTTATGGAATTGAGAATTTAACGTATAAAATGGGAAGCTTTTCAGAAAGTACAGATTTTATTGGTATAAAAGAGAATATAGATACCATAATTTTGGGGATGAATTGGCTTAAGAAGCACTCAGCAATAATTGACTTCAGGAATCATATTGTTACTTTTAAATCTAGTGAATTGGGTTGCTGGTATAGACTTCAATATCCAAATGGTGTATTTGAAGTCAGTAAAGATAGATTTGTTACAGAGACAGATAGTTTATGTTGGTGCCACCAAAAAAAAAGGGCCTCAGTTTTGGTTATGGCAAAGGCAAGCAAGTGGATAAGAATGGTTCTCCAAATCACATCACAATTCTTACTGCACAGGATCAGATTGTTGACCAATACATTGTTAAGCTTGGAGTTTTTGAGTTCTAAAGGCAAAGCCGTGCATGCTTGAGCTCTGGCTTTTGTGGACCAAGGGGACCTCTCTCATGGACATATACCTCTCTGGACATGAGTCATAACATAAATTGTTTTATATTTTGATTCTGTTTGAATAAATATTATCACAAGTAGAAATAATTT